CAGTTTGGCTGTTTTCGTAAAGATGGCTCTTTCAGAGCCCCCCATACTTCATGGGGCTCTTTGCCATTCTCACTCCTCTCGTAGCCCACTTTCATTTGCGGAAATGGATACCACGAAAGCGTTCGATTCCATTTCGCACCACTCTTTACTTCGAGCGGTAGCTGCTTTCGGAGCTCCCCCGCTACTGTTGGATTACCTGGTCTCGTATTACAGCTCTGCGTCCTCAATGTTTAATGACGTTAAGCTTCATCCCGATAGATGGGTCCAGTAATGAGATACACTTTCCACTTTGCTTTTCATAATGTCCCTCGATGAAGTTATACACGTAGTCGCCACCTCGCCTTGGATATCACCGGCTGGCCCGATTGAGTACCTCGCTTATGCGGACGATGTGATCATTTTTGCACAAGATCGCATTGCACTCGGGGATCACCTGCAACGACTGCAGTGCGTCAGCCTCATTACTAGTCTCCTGAAGTCTTTCTAGGTAAATATAGTTGTTGACGGCGCTTGCAAACGGGCCATACTGGATACAAATGTTTTAGACTATGACCCTTGTTTTATTCCGTCTGTACAGCCAGATGAAAAGTTTAAGATGTTGGCCCTGCCATTTAAATGGAAGGGTAAACTTCCTCCAACAGTAATTGACGACATTACTGCGCAACTCAACGAAGTCACCAAGGCAACGCTTAAACCACAGCAACGACTGGAGATTCTGAGAACTTATCTTTTGCCCAAACATATTTACCATTTGGCTCTCGCAGTGGTTCATCGGAATACACTGAAGCGGCTAGATCGCATTGACAGGTCGCACGTCCGAAATTAACTGCGTTTGCCGTCAGACACCTCAATTGCGTGTCTTCACGCTGATATTGGGAATTCTGGTCTGGGTATTCCCTGTCTGTCCACGAATATTCCCCTGCTGCGGAAAGAGAGGCTGGAACGGCATCTTGCTAATTGGTATCCAGTTACCAGTTGGGCGATCCGGAATCCTGCAGTCGCTACCATCCATCGTCTAGCAGGTTCTGATGGTACCACCGTAAACATCACAACGAAAGTGCGCAACAGATCACGAGGCAACTGCGGCGCCGAAGCACTAACATTGTTACGGAGCCGAGGGGATTCCGACTGCCACCTCTTCCATCAAAACAGACTTCCTTGCGGTTCAAAATTCCACGGTTCACATTGCGGGTGCAGCCATTTGTGACGCTTACCGAATGGAATATAGTTACAAATTGAAAGTGGATAAACATGGATGAGGGGGAATAGAACAGCTATTTCGCGATACATATGCGAAGAATTTCCTGAGATTATGAATATTATTCACCAACCCGTCATTATCAATAATCGATGAATGATATACACAACTACAGCAAAACATCTTACTGCACTCGGAAAGACATCACTTGATGTCTCTGACCTTCGTGTTTCGAAACTTCGTCTTAGTCTTACTTACATGCGAGGCACTGTATCACGCCTTAGATAACATGCCCATGGTGACAATTGAAGCGGTTCCGGCCACTGTTTGAAGTTTTTATCTCAATCATTGTTTAATACTATGCCGGGACATTTGTCCCCTCTTGGCATATTGCTATACAGCTCATCCTTCCAGCCATGCATGCAAATGTCCAAAATACAAGTTAATGTTATCAACCTGCTGAGTTGTGTGAGCGAGGTGATTGCCCGAATCCTACTCAACCGCCTCGTCAGTCAGGTTGTGGAATAGAACGTAGAGGGAGAGCAATGTGGATTTCGTTCGGGTCGCAGCACCATCGGTATGGAGTTGGCGGATCGTCATTTGCAGGGGAAGTGCAGAGAGCGACACCAACCGTTGTACTCACAGTTCGTTGATTTCATCAAAACATCTGATACGGTGAAACGCCAGGCACTCTGGCTGGTGTTGGGTAAGTTTGGTTGTCCGGGCAAATTTGAATGTTTGCAGGACGAGTACAGCGGGCGAGAGTACAGCTGTGGACAGACCTCGGACGAGTTCGCAGTTTAAAACAGTTAGTCCCCTTCAGTAGTTTGAACAACGAAATGAGATGACGAATATTGGCAGATGCTAGCATTTCGTATTATCTCGTCAGTACCAATACAATAACATGGAAATTCTTTTATATGTCTTAAAGGACATAGTCAAACTAATCAAATTTATTGTTGTGGTCATTGTTGTCAGATCAGGTCCACGGCAACCGCAGGTTGACAACTATTTGCTTTTGGACACACAAAGCTGGTCTAATTCGGCTTATCGCGACGGCCTCGGCAAATCGTAAAAGGCGTGCATTAGTATGACGTAACAAGATCCGGAAAGCTGATAAGGGATTGACCTGGTGACGAGTCGCCAAGATGTGCCTGCCTATGGAGGACGCCGGTGGCTTACGCGAACACGTATCATCGGAGGTGGATTGGGTAACTTCGCGCTGAACCCAGTTTGGTAGGTGTTCCTTCACTCGCGATAAGCCGAATTAGAGCAGCTTTGTGTGTCCAAAAGCAATTAGTTGTCAACCTGCGGTTGCCGCGGACCTAATCTGATAACAATGACCGCAACAATAAATTTGATTGGTTTGACTGTGCCCATTAAGACATATAAAAGGATTTCCATGTTATTGTATTGGTAATGACGAGATAATACGAAATATATATTCGTCTTCTCATTTCGTTCTTCAGACTTCGCAGTTGTCTCTGAAGTGAAGCAAGGCTTCTGCCCTGTTTAATATTTATCTGACTGCAATGATGTCATGCGCTTTTGATTCCGCATGTGCTTACGGTGTTCGTGAGAAGCACTGTATGCATGGCGGGTTGCTAAACATCCGTCGATTCGCTGCGAGAACCTATTTTGTGAGACAACTATCGGTAGGTTGCTCGTTGCTAACGACTGTGTGTGGTTTGCACACAGCGCGGATGAGTTGCAGCAAATGACTACTGCTCTGGCCTTGACAACGGCCAAATTCGGGCTCACCATCAACAGAAGAAAAATTGTCCGTCTCGTCCAGTTTTCACCGGAGGTGCAATCAGCAATGGTGTCGCAAATCAGCATCGGTAGTGAAGTATTGGGAAGCACTGTAGCCCGTAGCCTAGGGGTAACGAGCCTGTCTCGTAATCTTACGGCGCGAGTTCGAGCCTGCGTAGGGGAAGGGCGACCCTCGCAGTATCCTAGCCCATGTGCGACCGGTCGTGGTTGCACGGCAGCGAAGCGTCAGTAGTGCGTACCGGCGTACTGCTGATTCCTTATATATGAGAAACCACCTCCCGCTTCCGCTACGTTGGGAGTATGGTTTCGACTGACCAAAAAAATATACAGTGAGCTTCGCATCCGCGTATCTAAGTCAACGGCGGCATTCCGGAAGCTTGAGTACCGAGTGCGGAACAACAACCAGCTTACCGTTAGCACGAAGTTGATGGTGTACGAATCCATGGTGCTGTCCGTTCTTCTATACGGCAGTGAGTGGACGATATACCAGCGAGATGTGAGATATCGCGACCGGTTTCATCAACAGTGCGTGCGACGGATTCTGCGTATCGGTTGGTGCGACAGAGTTGCAGACACGCAGGTGTTATGTTGAAGTAGAATGTATGCAGTGGACTGAATACTTCTTCTGAGACACCTGAGGTGGCTCGGTCATGTGTGCCGTATGGATTCGACGCGGATACTGAGGCAGCTGTTAGATGGTCAGCTGAGTATGACTAAGCGGTATATGGGGAAACCAAATCCGTTAATAGGACATGATCAAAGTGAGCCTACACGTTCTAATGTTGTTTTCAGGTGTTGGGAATCGAAGTCGGTTGACCCGCGTGTATGGCGCGACCTGATCACGAGGGCAACTGCCGAGATGCAGGAGAAAGCCCTCGTGCATGCAGAGAAAAAGCGGCAGGTGTGGAAACGATAAGCGCCGATGGGGTACACTCCATCAAGGGCCAGCGCATGGTGTTGTAGCACATGCGGTCGCGAGTGCCTGAATCAGGCAAGTCTAGTGAGACACGAGTGAGGCCACTCGGGACCAGTATCTAAACGACGACGGGTCCTGCTGAGAATGTAACCAGAACCGGTGCATCGTTGGTAGGTATGCTGCATGCGCTTCCATTTCATTTGCTAACCGCGTACTTGAGTAGTGAGTCCCTATTCTAGGTGGTCGGTTGGCCATCTTATCTTAATGCTTATTTTTATACCTTATTTTAATATCTGCCTAAATAATCTTTTATTAACTTGCACACGTCGCTTAAGCTAACTTAAGTCAACTTTTCGCGTTTTTGGCATCTTCAAATATCCTTTTCTTACACTTTGTACTTATTGCGGATTTGTTGATAACCAATATACTTCACATGCACAATTAGAGAAGAGGTATGTTGGTATATCCACATGCTTTGTTCGAAACATTTTAGTTGACATTTCAAGTGACTGGCTGTTGCTTGACATCCCCGGTGTGGTTGCACTTGATGTGCATGTTGACAAGATGCCTACCTGTCTATTACTTACCACCCCGTCTATGCTGGCTCCATGAGACAATTGGTCGTTGCTGGAGGGGACAGGGTGCACGGTCCACGTGGCCGTGCTAGGCTAGAAGAGTGGTTCCATCCAGCGTGGAGCAGACTACGGTCCAGCCACCGCCTCGTAGGCGCTTTATTCCTCAAATACAGCGTGCTTGTGTTTGCCTGTGAAGGAGTGTGGGCCGGCTTCGTTGAGGAAACGTGGCTCCCAACCACATATCTCCCGGTCTTATTCCTACAGGTTTACATCGGCAATGAGGTGTGGGGGTGGAACTGTGGATGGTGCAGCGCAAGCCACCCATGGTCCTTCAGTAACCGCAGCGTCCTGTAGCTGTTTGCAATCTGAGTGGCAGATAAATCGGAAAACTGATGCCGCCAAGCATATAGAGACTGTCCCACAGTCACAGTTACGATGTTCTGTACCATGACGATGGGCAAAAACGATTAGCGATGTGAATTAACGGCAATAAAGATTTGGAGTAGAGTTGAAAAACGAAATATAAGCAAGACATTACTTTTGACATCACAAATGAGAGATAAACGATCCTCTACATCAGGCCGAGCCGATAAGATGGTAGCTAGATTGGTATCTTCTGAGAACAGGGCAGTTAAAGTGGTAAACTGTTGCTAAAAGGGTCCAGTAAGTCATCAAAAAATCAAAAACTTACATTACCACTGGCCGCAAAGAGCAAGAAGAACAGAGGGTCACATGGAGTGCAGAGGTACAAACTGCCATCTAGCAAGCCAATGAAATGCAGGTCAAGACGCACCTGATTTAACGTGAGATCCGAGTAACCATGATCTGTGAAGCTCGTGGACACGCTGTAACTCGTACAGCTTGCCCATTTTCTTGTTCCATATGAAGAGAACCGGTTGTTCTGTGATGCATCAACACTGATAACGAGGAGTAGAGAACCTACTTGATCTGGGATGAGTCAACTTTATCGTAGTGCATTTTCCGATGCTTGAAACAACCGCCTCTAAGAACACATGCATGAGAGCCAGTACCCTTTTCGGTACCTTCTGAAACCATTATCACTTCAGAAGAGTGCATTTCGATGAATAGACAACAAAGATAAGCAAGAAGTGGGATTCAACTGCAGAAAAGGAAAGAGCGCTAAAGATTAATGCAGATAAAAAAGAACAATTTACGCGAGAGCTAGCTGAAACTTTTACTATCTGTATAAAGGGAGCTGTAACTTCAAACACAGAATGTATTGAACAGTACGCAGGGGATTAAAGCAAGACCGTATAAGCGTCGGGGCGTGGCTAGATAATTGGATGGCAAATATCAAAAAGTAGTTAAAGGTAGAGATTCAAACACGAGCGACAATATAATATGGGAAAATAAGTTCGGGTAACGCCACACAATGGCCACAAAGTTGAAATACTCGTCAGCTACAGGTGTACATCAAATTGGTATATGTACCTGGATTCTGATCAACTCCTAATTCGCGTAGGCATGGTGTTCAAGGAAACACTCGGGCCTTATGCTTCTCTCATTCTCAACCTGAACTCATAGTCCATAATCCAGTAATGCCACGATGAAATGGCCCACTAGTTACCAATTACAAACGAAATTGGTGAGCCGAATACCAGCTGCAATCATCCCAAATGTACTGTGAGGAATACCACTGGAGACTTCTGTGAAGTGATATGTATAAAGTGTGAATAAAATTCTGAATAATAGATCAGTTGGGTCGAAATATGCATACAGATGCCGTGGAATACTCTGCTGTGGTGTATCCGTAACACCCATAAATGAGTGCTGGGTAGGAGTGTGCCCTGTTTGCAGATGATTTGAAAATCTGGAGGATCACTGAGAACCAGAACGACTGCGCTCGCCTCCAGCATGACTTAGAGCAACTGTCAACGTGGTCCACTGAAATGCAACTGCCTTTTAACGCAAGCAAGTCGGAGTTCATCAGTATCATCAGACATCCAGCCACTCGATCATACGCTGTCGACGGCCAGTTGCTCCACCCTAACACATCTGTCAGACATAGGAGCGATCGCGCGACATGATATGAGATCACTAGAAAATACAGAGAAAATGGACCGTGCGGAACTTCGCATGCTCTGGGCATTATGACGCAGTTTCTCCACATGTTCCGAAGAAACCGTCCCTCGCCTATTCACCTCGCTCATTAGACCAGTCCTTGAATACGGCGCCCCAGCTTAGCATCCGATAACCCAGTGGGAAATTGAAAAGCTGGAGAAAATACAGCACATCGCAACTAGAATGATACCCAGTCTACGAAATCTTCCGTATGAAAGACGTGAAAGGTTCGGATTCTACACACTATCCTACTGCCGAATAAGAATAGATCTTATTATGACCCATCGAGTACTACATTTGAATCATTTCCCCATACTGCGGCCAATACTGCACCTGCGGGAACTCTGTAACACCCGAGTACACTGTTACAAACTCAGGGTCCCCTGCATGAACAAGATATCACATCAGCTTTGTATAGAACGAAGAATCGTAAACTTATGGAATACACTACCAGAAGGACTAGTAGAGGCCGATTCTGTGAAGTGTTTTAAAACGTATGAACGATTATTTCGGAAACCTGTGCTTTTGTGAAACGGTGCGCACACAATGCAAAAAATACATTCCATACTCGTAAATAATTACACCAATACGAATTCCTAACCAAACAATAATAAACGAGTAACTGACCAAATACTACCGCTGAGGATACGCAATTAAAGGTTATTGATTTTTCATAATTCGAAAGTTGTACAGAAACCTTTCTACTTGCTCTTAAATAGTCTCAGTCTCAGAAGAATTAAAACTGATCGGGAGCATTTGTGGGTAGCAAGAGCTCAGGGAATGAAGAAGGCCCAGTACCGTTCCGATGCATCCACAGCATGGACCCGATAGAACACTCCGTTAGTGAGGCAATAGCCGAAAAGATGGACAGTTAGGTTATATTCAGCCGCGTCGACTAGTCCGTTAGTTGGACTATTACGAAGAGCAGTTCCGCAGGCCTGCTGCGACACTACCGCTTGTGTAAAATCTGGACGCACGTGGGAAGTTGATAGCACACCTCACACTTCAGGAAAAAACCGACATGGACTCGACGTGCTGAAAAGAAACAAGGCTCATGGAACCGACGACGTCCCATCTTTGTTTAATATGGAGGTGACTTTTGGTAGCATGTCTATCCGCTTTACTCAACACAATTTGGGTAACTGGAGAGGCACACTTAGACTGGCGATTGGCAATCTTTATTCCCGTTTTCAAAAAGAGTCAAAGGAGCTGGGTGTTCTACTCCCAGCTTTGCTATTTCTACCTGATGAGTCTAACCAAAGACGAAACCGTCCGTCATGGAGTGCAGGGATGGGAGAGAGCCACACCGAAACCCTCCACTTCGGTGACGGTCCCAGTGACCGTATTGGCAGAGGCTGACCAAAGTCAACCGAGGCCACGATTGAGATTGCGTGTCGCGATCCAAGACACACGGCGGGTGCTCCAAAACCGGAAAATCAACTTCTAACCGCTGTGTTAAACACCGCTCGCGGAGCTCAATGGTCTAGTGATCATGGCGATTGCCGCCAAGCACTATGCGGCAAGTTCCACCCGCAGCTCGGCTATCTCTACCTGATGAGTCTAAACAAAGACGAAACCGTCGGTCATGGAGTGTAGGGATGTGAGAGCACCACACCGAAACCCTCCACAGTTAAAGGACTTATTTTTATTGCCTCCAAACTTCCCTCGGATCACCTTTTGCCACAGCTCGTTGGCTTCGTATAGGTGGAATCAGTACGGGTGGCTTTTGCCCTGGTCATGATTTCAGCGAGCATGTGATTGCTCTTAGCCAAGTATCGGGGTCGAAACATGCCACTAATTCTAAGTATCACCGAATTGCCACTTGTTTATGATCAATCGACTCACTTACATTGATTTTTGGGTTACAATTGGCGGTCATACTACAGAGATTACTTCACGCGTCAGCAAAGTCCGTCTATAGAGACGCCGGAATTATCAGTCGATCAATGTAACATATACCACGCTGCGATAAGGCCACCGAAACTGTGCAGATCGGACCTGAACAATTCGCGTTGAAGACAGTAAGGTGTCGGTCGCCTTTGATCACCTACGATAATGGAGTATAGTTCATCTATAGTGGGAACACCTGTTGGTCTGGGAAGAAATCCTATGATGCTGTAGTGCTGAACTTGAACCGTTTACGCTGTTTAACCCATGTTCTCAGTATGCCCGTTGATAGAATTCCTCCCTGTGGATTAGACGTTCGTGCTGTACCTAGTCGAGCGAAACTGCGAGAGAATTAAGCGATGGCATAGCATAAAGACATGAACTGACTGAGAGGCTTTGTCAGGCTGATGTTTGCTGTCCTCGTAGATGGGGACATAAGGATCAGCCGTATCAGTGATTGGTAACTCTATTGGATATGGTGCAGTGGAGCAATCAGTGGCGTTCTTGCATCCTGTCGGTTGCGTCTAGATATCAATCTTCTATTCCAATTAATTCCATCGACTGTTCTCAACCTTTTACGCGAGTCGTGACAAACCGCACCTTCCTTTAATTGAACTCAACTGAAAATAAGGCGGCAGTGATGGGGCAACTTACTTGCCCCGTTCCCCTTCACAACCACCCCTGCTGGATGTTAAGCGCAGCAACCATACCCCAACTTTCACAGTGGCATAAAACCGACTGCAACGCTATACAAGCCCAAGCTAATCGGCATCAACACAGTTCAGTGGAAAAGCTCGAGTGAAATCCGCGAAATGTAGAAAAGAGAGAGGAACCAGAAGTAGGCCGGTGTGGCATATTGACACTTCGCTACCAGCGCAACTACCAGTCGCGCGTGGGTTAGGGGTCCTGCGAGACCACCAGCATCGACTCAAAGTTCAATTTGGGGAACCCGTTGTGTCGTTGGGTTGCGACACGCAACTTCTACTGAGCCCTCGGTGCACTTTGAGGTAAACCTCGGGCATTCGGATCGCGAGGACCGTATACGATATGGAAATATTTCTGCGTTTCTCCTCCCAACAATGGCACACCAAGACCGCGGTTTCCTCCTGGTTTGGACCCATCAAGTGGCGATAGCCTGAGGTGAGGTGGAACTCAGGCCTAGTAGCTCACGGCTGATACCCTGAACACCGGGCTACTGAGATTCGCGAGCAACGCTTGGCACAGCGGAAAGGAATTCAAGGTTGAATTTGAGGAACCCCTGTGTTGTTGGGTTGCGACATGCAACCTGCATTGAGACCTCGGTTCAGTTTGAGGTAAACCTCGATCATTCGGATCGCGATGACCGCGGTGGCTGAACCGTGGTCCGCTTCACACTGAGTGCATGGAACCACTCTGTGAGCATAGCAAGACCACAAGAACTGTGCACCCTGTCCTCTTAAGCAATGACCAACTGTATCCTGGAGCCAGTGTGGACGAGGTAGTAGGTAATAGACAAGTAGGCACTTTGTCATTATACACACCGAGCGCAACAACACGGGGACGCCAAACAACAGCTAATCACTTGAAATAGCATTATCAAATAAAACATCTGTTAAAGCATACGGCCATGCAGACATAAATATTCGCTAAATTAGTATATGAAATAAGTTGGTTAGCAACGAATAGGCCATAAGCACTAAATGTCCACAAATTACACAAAAAATGCCACGAATGCAATCAAGTTAACCAAGAACACCACAAACAGTGTAAGCAATGTCACCAGATAACAGAAGTTTATTCAGGTAGGAAGAACAAACAAAATAAGTGGAATGAAATTAATCCAGGTTAAAGACTTAGTATAAGTGCAAACTGGTTGAGCCCAACTCCGGTGAAGAACCATCATGCATGCGATATTCGCGTCAGCGTAGGCGCACCGTCGGATGCGTCACGAGCGATCAATGGGATTTTGATAATGCAGCTATGGTACAGGGTAAAGTTCAGTAGCGATCGGAACGAGAGGATAATCCCGTGAATGTTCCTTCCTATGCGTATCGTTGGACCGCGAATTGATAGGTCTGCTTGAGATGTTCAAAAGCCTAAAACAAAGACCGCATCATATCACGTCCAATTAATTACTTCCCAGATTTGAGGTTTGAGCGTCAACCAGATACTCTTGGGTGGCAACACGAAACCTTTCCTTTTTCCTGACTAATTCCCATTTTCATACTTCGATTCTATTTTCTGTACTTTTCCTCACCGTTGGTATTATTCTCTTTAATTGATTTACTTTACCTTCGAATTTTCTTCCTTTCTTACTTCACGTAAGTGACATAGGAGGGACAGCTAATGTAAGGAACGTGGGCATTAAATTGGTGGGCCAGGGTATTTTTCGGTGTTCTCCCTTTATACACACCAAGAAGTCGGAGCACCTCTATCAACTGCTGGATCGAAGACCCGCTCAAGATGGAACACTTACGGGATTCATCTTATCGTTCTAGTCCCACTTGAACTTTACCCTGCCAGACCGGTTTGTTTGAAGTAGATTGAAGGATAAGCTAAGAAAACAATAGGAGGAATGTCAGCTAAATAGTGATAATACCAATTTATGAGAAGAAATTAAAATAATGAAGTGAAAGTTAAAGATACAAGTCGGTTAGAAGAACGAAATGGTTCGCTACTGCCACCGAAGATCATCTAACTGACGCGCGAAACACTCTACCGTAAACTCCCTAACGACCTGCTCCGGAAGCGAGTTCCAACCTTCAATAACTCGGCGCGACAAGCGAGTTTCCGTCCTTACCCGGTCAGAACGCAGTTTGTGCAGCTTCAACAAGTGATCTCGGTGACTAGGCAGCTTAGCGGGACCAAGTAGCCAGGACAAGTCTGGACCGATCGTACCCGTTAGGATACGGTAAATGAGGATCAAGTCTCCTCTAATTCTGTGGTAGTGCATTGAGTACATACCCAAGCTAAGCAAACGTTCGGGATATGTTTGCCCTCGTAATTCCTGCACTAAGCTTGTACCCACACGCAAAAGCCTCTCCAGTTCCATTGTGTCCCTTACAAGACAAGGTGGACAAGCCTGGATACAGTATTCTAAGTGGCGTCGCACGAAAGCTGAGAACAGCTACAAAAAGATATCCGCCGTTAGAACACCGAAGGAGCGGCGAATAAACCACATCATACGGAACCCTCTACAATCAGCCTTCCTCCAATTGTCCCCAGAGTGAAGCACTGAGGTGTGGACGACGCCTAGATCAGCCTGCTGAGTGACAACAGGAAGTTCACTTCCACCAACCACATAGCGTGTGGGAGGACTAGCACCTCTAATGCGGAGGACAGAACATTTCGCCTGATTTGTAGGCATCAACCATAAAGTTGACTAGTCCCAGAGCCTATCCAAGGTACTCTGAAGTGCCTCAGATCCCCCAGGGATATCCACAATATTCCAGAGCTTGAGGTCATCAGCAAGTAATAGCGACGGTACTTCAAGCTTCTGGGGTCATCATCAACAGCAGTACATCAGCCATTTGAACTGATGCTTCGCTGCCATACAACCATGAGGACCTGTGAAATAAAGAATAAGAAGAGGGAGAGGAGGGGGACTTACCTGAAAACCTTAATGCCCTAAGCAAACATTCCGGGTCAAGGCGCCTACACCTTGTGTAGACAACATACCGTCACAAACAGCTGGCTATCGTGCAAAGATAATGCGGCATCGGCGAGACAGCTCCCTTGCGACTTTCACTGCCACGCGTCATACTCAGCCATTA